CCTAATTATAAACCTAGGATCTTAGAAAGGCAAATCAGCCTCATTGTCAGTAATCAGTACAGCCACTCAACGATTTTAAGTGTTTATTTATTGCTAAAATTTATAAATAAAATGAAAATTTCTTGATAAGATCTGGCAAGGTATAGTAAAATCTACATGTTTAAAAATTTTAGCAATAGCCACTTAAAATGATAAAGTGTCCGACTAATTAGGGTATAATCAATTTATATATAGGGTTAATCAATTTAACTCATGACGATGAATTTTCTTTCTCTTTAATTTTAAAAATTCCATTCCACTGAGGGGTTAGAAATTATTATTAGCTATATCTATTTTACACCCTAAAAAAATCATTGATCCAGTACTGCTGAGAAATGGTAGAAGTTACTAGGCAATGATTTCGCCGATTATCAGATACTTTAATTTTCCAAGAATGTCCCGAATCTCGGCTCAATAATGGCGTGTTTACGGCAAAGTTGTTGAATCTTTAATTGCAAAATTTGCCAGTGATGGCAAATTCGAATCAAAATTAAAGAAACTTGACTGTCGATTTCGATAATTTAACACAAAATAGATGTAAAAAGTTTTTTCAGTTTTGCTTTTATTTCTATATGGTCCCTGATTCTGATAAATCAAAATGTATTTGGAAAATTATTTCGAAAGAATCACAAATTTGTAATTTTTGATTCGAGCCAAATTTCTTATTTTTTTATCACAGTAGTAAAAGGGAGCTATTGCTCGTGACCAAAAACTACTTAACACTAAGTCTCCCACGCTTAAACGCGACTCTAATACCATACGCCAATCACAAGGCAATCAGAGATCACTCCACTGGCATAAAATTATCCCAATATATATAAATGTATATATATATGCAACAGAGATTCGCACTGTATGTGGCGTCGTGTCACCTAGCGTGCTGATAATGACAAAGCAATTCTTGTTAGTTACAGATAACGAAATTTTCCTGCATTCAAATGATTCAATTTCATTAGTTTCAATCTGCTCTCTTAATACTGGAAAGTAAATTTGTTTTACTCTTTGTCTCACTAGAACCAACTTTTTCTACTATTTTGGTTTTGATGTCTCGTCAAAACCGGCGTTTTCTACTATTTTGACATTAGCCCCAGAAGCATGCCAAAGTGAAGCATACTTAGTCCGTCGACTTTTCGTCACGACGCACTTACTGGCTTATCATAACCAACGTTTTCTACTGACTGATCGACGTTTAGTCATTAACAGTTGTTTTCTACTATTTTAATATCCACGCCATGAGATAATTGACCTTCCCTAGTTACTGGTCAATTCTGAAATAGAATATATTCGGGTATTCTTTCTACTAAGTCAACTTCTAAGACGAAAATTAACAAATATTTTCCACTTGTAATAAAAACTAGGCTTTCTTTTCAACAAAACATTTTTTATCAGTTTTTTTTAACACACACAGAAAAGTTGTATCAAAAACCCGAGTCGAAATTTAAACCCTGTTTTGCTCCTCCTAAACAGTAAATCGAACCTCTTTTAAACCTGCTTACTTCTCAAAATCTTCCATTCACTCTTATTCATTCTCTTTTTTTAACCTCTTTTCGAAAAGACATTTGACTGATTTTTACTAAAATTTACTTTAAAATTGATAAACTTTAATCTGATAATAGTGGAAATCCTAAGAAATGCGCAAGAATTTCTGACAGTTTAGGTAGCTGACAGTTTTAAAGTAGCATAGGGACAGTCACTGAACATTTTTGTGTTGTGTCATGTCATGAACACAAGATGTTCATGCCTTAAGGTCATGCTCTTCAGTGGTCACGTGTTCAACATGCTTCGCTATTGAAACACGTGATCACTAAGTAACATAACCATAAGGGTCGTGTCATATCACAATGCAATACATTTAGAAATTAAAAACTCAACGCAGGAACACAACGCAAAACTTTCGTGTTTGACATGTTACTTTTTTTGTGATGAGTCGTGTCGTGTTGTGTCCTGACTAGAAACGGTATTTTTTAAATAGAATTAAAATTGAAAGAAGTATAACAAAAAAATTGTCGTTCATTTGAACTTTAAAAACTGTAGGAACATTTCTCCAGGAATATTTTAAAAAATCGTCAATATACACTATAATTTAGAACAATTAAAAGTATTTCTTTTTTCTTTTTACAATGCAGTAAAATTATGTCTCTCGGAGTGCCAGACAGTACAGTCGACCTGTGTTTTACCCGGTAACCTTTAACATGGGCTTTCTATCTATACAGTCAAGAAAATAGTCTACATTTTACCTTTGATCTTTTCTAGTAAGTACCCGTGAAACTTCTTTATCGAACCTCTTGATAGATAAAAGAAACACGAATCTCTAGCCTAGATTTGAAGAAAAGTTTCACCTGGGTGTACATAACTATAATATATATATATATATATAAGTTTACAACAATATATCTATCTCAAATATTGCAATACATTTCAATTAAACTTAAATATATTTCACTGTACAACAAAGATATTTTAAGTTTTAATAAAAAACCCAATTTGTATCAATGTGAGTGAAATTATAATTTTTTTCCTGATTCTCAGTGTTGCAGCAGGGAAGGTGAATTCCTACGTCACGAAGTTAAAGGTAAACAAATCATTGTACTCCCTCCGACTATACAACAAGGAGGCAAGATTTATTCTCATTGAGCACGCGCAATCAATAACCAATAAACCCAATGACTAACTCGCACATTTCGAAAATAGAAGGCTGCTTATAAACTGTAGATAACACCATATAAGGAAAGCTTTCATTGAGTACAGAAACTGTCGACCTTTATTTTCAGAATATAGATGAGGGGACCACATGCGCATGATTGCTATGTAGCAAAAAACAATCATTGTTATTTTGTCCTCAAGTTGATTTCAAGAAGAATGTGAAATTCTTTCTCTTAAACTGCATACAAAACAAAACCAATGAACCCACATAAATACGAAAGGTATTTCGATTCTATTTTGACGAGGCAAATGACGCAATGTACTTGACGTTTGTTTCTTTGAAAAGAAAGACAAATAAAGAAGCATTAACGAATTTTCGAAAATAATATATGCGACGTCACTCAGGTGATAAAATTTCATATTTACTTGAAACGAAAAATAACTTAATCGCGCTCAATTTTTTTCTACATTAAATCATTTATTAATATAATCAAGTCGCAGTTAACTTCAGCTTTACTTCAGCTTCATAAGAATAAATTAGAATATACTGTCTAATTATCAGACACTGTAAAAAATTTTCCTACACCTGCAAATATTGAACATCTTTTGATTAGTTAAATTAATTAATCAATTAATTGTAAATTAGAAAATTAACCTTCAAGTTTAGTCTTCTCCGAAAGTCTAATTTTTTCTATACTGTATTCAAATTGAAGAGCACTACAATAATAAACCAGTGTTTATTCCTCCAGGTATACTAATTGAAAAACAATTTTCTACGAATATTATGTAATTATGTAGACAGATGGCATATTTCGAAAACAGTTCGATTAACGCGTAAAACACTATACACACAAATATTACACTAAAAAATAATGTGCAAATGGACTTTCAATTTTATTTTCCTTGAAACATTAAAGTCTTTAACGAGAATAGAAAAGAACGAAAAAAAAACAACAAATCCGTTATAATGCAAACGTAAATTTAATGGTGCCAATCACATGTTCTCGACGATGCTCGACGAAAAGTGAGTCACATAGTTTGTCTGGATATACATTTAAAGATAGACGCGTCAAATGTTATATGTTTTGAAATTGAATACGATCCGAGCAATATCAAAAATATTGTCAGTTATGAAATCGTAACTTGGACCACCAACGTAAAAAATGAGGCAAAAACAAAAAGATTAAAACAATAATATAAATGATGAAAATGCGTCATTTAAAGTAGATAAAAAAAATAGACCACACACATTATTTTTGAAGAAACAGAAGATGATAATTTAGTTTCATCAAATAATACTTTCACATTGAGATTAATTATTAATTTATATTCTCTTGAAAGATTTAACTTTTTTTAAACCGTATTTACATAATTGATTAATATTAGATTCTTATTTATTTCAAAAAAAAATTTCTTTGTTTACAAGAAACTTACTTTTGAAAATGGTTTTCAAATTGTAACAATTTTGTTCCTTTTAAAAACAATTCTTTATAAAATCTTCAAAAAGATTGTCTTTAAGAAGACTTTTAGTGACTGATTAGCAATTTATAAATTTATTTGATGCAAATAAACTGTTCCTTGGATATACCTCGTGATTTGTAATATTCCCAGTTAGTCATATTTTAAATAATTTACTACTTTTTATCATTTCTACATTTATATATTTAGAAACTGAGTTTTCGATTTTAAAGTTATATTTAGCAATATAGAGAAAATAGTATGTATACATGAAATGCAGGTAAAAGTAATTTTTATATTAACTGCTCTAATTATTTTAACTCCGACAAAGGTCAATATTAATTTTTATCCTTTCGTCGTACAATTGAATCTCATGCAAAAGGTTATCTCGTATCATCTTTTATATTACTTCAAAGTGCGTAATGCTTTAGTCTGCACTGTTCAAATTATGTTTAATCGTCAGCCTAAAGCATTGTCGTACTTTAAAAATGAAAAAAACAAAAGACAATAATAAGAAAAAAAGAAAACATATGCAATAAAAATAAAAAAATGAAGCAAAAAAGTAAGTAAAACTAAAATAATGAAAGGAAGCAAAGAAAAAAGTAGTGTTTAATAAACAAATGTAAAGGAAAGCTATATGTTCCAAAGTACAAATTATTATGAAATTATACGAACATACAATTAAGTTGTTTTTATAAAAGAGAGAAAATAAAAGTAAAACAAATTATTTAGTATACAACTCTTTTTACCATTATTATTAAATACTTTCAAGGAATCTATCTATGATCTGATTTAGGATTTTAGAATCGCGATCGAATCAAAATACAATTCGAAAAGTAACCTAAAACAATTTTTCTAACCTTTTGAATTTGTTAGACTTCTCGAGCAAATCCGAAGTCACCTAAAAGACTTGTAATCCTCTTTCAAAACCAAGACGAGTCTCACCTAAAGCAATCGCCAGTCCGCGTTGCAAATTAATTGAGAAGCCATAAAACGATGTCTCAAGTTCCTAAGAGAAACGACCTGCACACGTCTGCCAAGAACCCAATCGAGACATCATCACTCAATAGAAATTCCCGCATAAAATCAACTTTTCTCAAAAACTTAACACACACCGCACTTGTCACTCACAACATAGACACGTGTTTTCTTTTTTACCCAAAACAGAACACGAAAGTGAAATTATTTCCAACACAGAGAATGATGAATTAAACAAAATGATCAAACATGCCGTTCGACTTTATCAGATAATATCACCAGGAATAAATTTTCCCTTTTTTTTCGCAAGCAACGTCATTTAAAGATTCCATACCGTTCTGCGTCGCGGAAAGATCCGGTTGGCGCGCAAAATCCGGGAAGGTGGACGCCCTGAGAAATGACGACAGGGCGTTCAAAACTCACATAACCTTATATTTTATTTGTGGTCGCGCACTTGGAATCCTTGGAAAAAGTCGTCGCCAAGATCCTTGTAAGGCAATGACTTGCCCGCGAGATCAGCCGAGTGTAAACAAGGCAAAGTCATCGTACCGTCCACTTAGTGAATCGTTGGGAGTTGCCGCGAAAGGGAAACACACAAAAGCACTGTGTGCTTTTTCAAATTTTTCAGCTTCTATTATCTTTACTGTTTCATGCACATATCAATACATAAATTTATCCATAGAATATGTGTCAAGAATTGAGACTAAGCGCATGAAATGTAAAAAGGGAGAAGAGAAGTAACCGAAAATATTTCGCGAGCCACTGCAGAAATCCGTCGCGCGTTTGTAAACATAGTATGTGAACACACAACACTACTCCATGCTGCGATATATAGAACGTATACAACCGTGTTCCTCGCGTGGCGTCTCACGTAGTACTAGTACTACCCAGTGTTCACTGGCTGAGGACTATTCCCGCCGCCAGGGGCGGATCAGTCGTATTCAATGGGGAGCTTAACAAAAGGGTTGAAATCGAGGACGCAAGCTATGCTTTTTTTTCCCTTTTAATTAGCAAGATGAAAATGGTAAATGTACCCTTTCTTTTTATTGATACATATATGTTTCATTCACAGAAACACCGAGATTAATTAATTATTTTTAGATTACATTTAGTTTCTAACTTATTTCTTTAATATAATATATTTTTGTAGCAACTCCGAAAAAACATGCTTCATAGAAATTACAAACGAATGACTTTTCAACTACAATTGCGTAGAAATAAAAATGTTAATAGACCTGGTCCTAAAATATTCCTACCCGCATTTAGGTTTTAATTGCAAAGGCATTGTTTTACAATTAGGAGAATAAAACTAATGGTTTTAGCAAATAGTTGTTTAATTTTTAACTTTAAATTTACAGTGAAAAGAAAATCTTACATTAAGGCAGAAATTGATTTTATATTATATGAGAATAGCTCTAAGCTAAAAAAGTAACTGTTACTTCCCAGATTTAAAAGTATTATTATAATTAGATTTAAGAACAATTTTTAATACTAAATCTAGTGTTTATTTTACTGCTCCTCTTAAATCTATAATTTTAATTTATATATATGGAGCAAAATTCCTCGACTGTCCAGGTCAAAAAATGAATTTTCTTTAAACTTTGCTAAAATGTTACTATTATTAGTAGAAGTGTGAATATAAATTTTCTTTGAATTTAATAAATTTTTGAAGAAAATAATTATAAATAATCATTTTCTATATAAAATAATGCAAAAATGTTTCATATTGCAAAAATGTTCAAGTTCCCACTCTGATATTTACATGGTTCATACGAAAAAAGGTAAGCTTTCCATTGGGATAGGTTAGAAAAAAATAAAAAAAAAAAAAACAATTTTGAAATATATTGAAATTAAGAATTTGACCTTGAATTTCAAAGTCAAATTAAAAGAAAACAACTTTTTTTCATCACCAGCTTGTAGCTCGTAAAAAATCTTTTAAAAATCGCTATTCATACACTGTAAAAAATTTCTGAATTTTATCCGATAATATAAACGGTAATTTTTCCGAAATTAGGGGGAAATCAGTTTTTCCGAATATTGAATAGGAAATATTTCCGAAAGTAGGTGGAAAAATACTAGTCGCATAAAAACCGGAAATTATTCCTTTATTTTCGGCAAAGTATCCGAAGATCGCGGATTTTTTACCAGTTTTTCTGTAACAATTTCCAAAGTTAAATGGAAAAATAATTTTTCCGACAAAAGTCGGAAATTATTCCATAATTTTTTGTAAAGTTTCCAAAGATAGTGGATTTTTCACCAGTATTATTATGAAATATTTCTGAAGCGAAGTAAAAGAACAGTTCTCCCAATACTTAATTGGAAGTATTTCCAAAGTTAAGAGGAAATACACATTTTCCGAATATTTAGTAGGAAATATTTCTTCTTTCCTAATCTGAATTAGTAAAAAATTCAACTTTGAAAGCAAAAATCAGTAAAAATTGTCTGTTAAGTAATTATCGAATTTTGACTTTCTTAACCATTTGTTAAGTATATCAATAAATTATTTTTTTACATTTAATTTATAATTATTAGTCAACGTTTTTTTCACTAATTACTAAAGAAAAAAATCCGATATGTGTATTTATATACTACTCTTTAAATCTAAAAAAAGTGAAAATTTACTTAGAATACATCAAAAGTATTCCACGTAAGATAATAAGTATATATATATATATATATAATTAAAAATAAATGAAAAATCATTTATGAATTAGTCTACATGCACGTACTTTTTTACGTGAAAGACTTATGACGTAACTTTTCTAAGAGCATTTTCACTTACTTAAATTTGAAGAAAAATAATTAGTTTATTTTTACTGTTTTAAATTTAAAAACTGTTAAATAAGAAAAATAAATACTATGAATACTATGAATACTATGAATCGGTTGGTCAACAGTTTTAAAGAGATTGAATCTTTCGAAATTCCATAGAAGTTAGAAAGAACAGATTTTACTCCACATGTTTCTTAAAACTGATACTTTGCAGCAGATTCTCATAGCCTCCCTTGGTCGAGCGCGTCTAAGCGTGCGCTCCCAATGGTTGAAGGCTCCATTAAAAAAAACCCTACGCACAGACAGCACTATAAGGCTGACAGTTCAAATCGTGGTAAATAGATAAATAGATACTTCCGTAAAAATGTAAATAATAATTTTTTTAAAATTAATTTACATTTATTTTAATATATCAGAATGTAATATAAACAGTTTTGATTTTTTACATAAATATTCAAATGATTTAAGTAGAATTTCCGAATAAATAGTAGGAAATATTTCCGAAATTCATGGTAGATAATTCCTTTTATTTATTCGGAAAAATTTCCACCGTTTGGGGTTCCGTGCTGTCCGTATTTTTTCGGAAAAAATTCCGAAAAATTTTTTACAGTGTACTTTAAATTTGATTAATTTTACTTATCAATATAATAAATCGAAAAAAAAAATATTTTCGAAAAAGCCAAAATTTTGAAACTTCATAAGTTTCATGTAAATTCCATGGAATTTTCGTGGAGTTTCCATGAGAATTCTGCAAGTTTTTTATTTTAAAAATATGTTAACATTTCCATGGTTGCCATAGGTCAGGAAAAAGTCAGGAATTTTTATTAAAGTACTGGAAAAAATTGAATTTAGAAGCAGTTACGAATGATTGCAGATATTCAATTATTTTCAAAAGTAATAAAATTTTCAAAAAAATTCATTTTTTTAATAAATTATTTATTTTTGCCTTTAAATAATTGAATTCTCGTAAGAATTTTCGAATAAAAATTGATTTAAAAATGAATTTCTGTTAAAATTTTGCACAATAATTGAATATTAAAAGCATTATAAGCATAAATTTTAAAAAATAATTAAATTTTGAATATTTTTGAAAATAATTACATTTTTCGAAGAATTTACTTAAAATTTTATTAAAAATAATTGAAATCATGTGAAGAATTTTATTATTTAGGAGAATAACTAAATTCTTGTAAAGAATGTTTATTATATTTTTTAAAAATAATTCAAGTCCTGTGAAGAATTTTATTATTTATGAAAATAATTGAATACCTTAGAAGAATTTTTATAACATTTTTTTTTAATAAATAAAGTTCTGTAAAGGATTTTATTATTTATGAAAATAATTGAATTCTTGCAACGAATTTTTATTACATTTTTTTTAAATAATTGAAATCCTGTAAAGAATTGAATTACTTGTAAAAATAATTGGATTCTTTGAACACATTTTATTAAAAGCCTATGAAAAATTTTATAATTTATGAAAATAATAATTGAATTCTGACAACGAATTTTATGACATTTTTTTAAATAATTGAATTCATGTGAAAAATTTCATTACTTGTAAAAATAATTGAATTCTTGGAACACATTTTTTTACATTTTTTAAAAATAATTGAATTCTTTTGAGAAATTTTATAAAAATAGCAGGCTTTGAAAATATTTAAATTTCAGCAAATAATTTCATTAATTGTAAAATGTAATTGAATGCTTGCAAAAAATTTTTAAAACAATGAAATTTTTTCTAGGAATTTATTAAAAATTATATTAAAAATAATTAAAATTAATTAATATTAAATTAATTAAGTAATTAATATTAATTTCTAAAATATTATTTATGTTTGCATTTAAATAATTGAATTTTCGTAGAATTTTTAAATAAAAATGGACTTAAAACTGAATTTCAGTTAAAATTTTACATAATATTAGAATATTAAAAGCATTATAAGCATGAATTTTCAAAAATAATTAAATTTTGAATATTTTTGAAAATAATTACATTTTTCGAAGATTTTATTTAAAATTGTATTATTGATGAATATAATTGAATTCTTGGTACGCAATTTATAACATTTTTTTTAAAAAATTGAATTCTTTTAAGCAATTTTATTGAAATAGCAGATTTTGAAAATATTTGAATTTCAGCGAAGAATTTCATTAATTGTAAAAGGTAATTGAATTCTTGCAAAAAATTTTTGAAAATAATTACATTTTTCAATGAGTTTATTTAAAGTTATATTAAAAATAATTAAAAGCCTATGAAAAATGTTATTATTTATGAAAATAATTGAATTCTTACAACGAATTTTATTACCTACACTTTTTTAAATAATTGAATTTATGTGAAAAATTTTATTACTTGTAAAAATAATTGAATTATTGGAACACATTTTATTACATTTTTTAAAAATAATTAAATTTTTTTTTTTTGTTTGAAAATTTTATGGAAATTTAAATTATTATAAAACATGAAGATATCAATCATTCCGTTTTAAACGTTTTAAAAGTAACTACAATATATTTTAAGATGCTTGTTTTTGCAGTGATATATACAAATTAGTTCATGCTGCTCGAAATCAGAAAAAAATTTATTTATTTACATTTAAGACATAAATTTTTCCTACATTTATTGACTGATTTTGACTAAAGCAACTTACATTATGGTCCAATTTTTGACTAAATTTCTGATTAGAAAATTGATTTTAAGTTCCAAAATAAGTTGAAATTAAAAAAAGCACCTTTGAGCCAGCAACTTTTACTATTTCCAGAGTTAATTTTATTTCTAGATTCGAAGTACATTTACCTAATAATTACTAAAATTTATTTGCGAAATAGTACAATTTGTCTCCGAAAATGATAAAAATACACACAAAGTCTTGACAGTTTAGATTTTACTATTTAAGAATTATAAAAGTTATTCCGTATCTCGAAAAAGGTGAAAACTATAAATTTTGAACTACAATAATCATATAAAGAAGTTAAGAACAATTTTTTTTTTTTTTTACACTTTCGGTTATAAATCTAATTGAACACTTATCGTATATTATAAAAGTTATAACGCCTTATAGAGCTTCAATCAAATCATTGATATTATTCTATTATGTTGTGAAAAGTAATCTTTT